CCTCCTCTTCCTCCCCCCCCCTGCAATCCTCTGTGCGTCGCAGTCACAGGGGCCTTGTGAAATTGTGAATCGAATGCTTCCCTCCGCTGTCTCATTCTCCAGGAGCTTCCCACTGAGTCACATGGACTCCACACTTCTGGCCAGGAAATCCAGACTCCTACCCCACAGTGCTCTGCCTGCCTCTGTCTTTGTCTCCCTCCCTTCTCTCTCCAGCCTGGGGACTTCGTTTTCCTTGTTGGTTGGGGGTGTTGAACAACTTCTGCTTTCACGCACGGAGGCCAGCGCTGCCTTCTCGCTCATGTGTGAAAGCTCCATCTCCCCTTATTCCTGAATTCGCTCCAGAGCTTACCTTCCAACGCTCACACAAAAGCACCACACTCCGAGACACATTCTGTATATCCCATGTGACTCATGCTATATCCTCCACCTACCAGGGCCTTTGCACTTGCTGCTCCTCTCCTTAGACGCCCCCCCATAGGCTGGACATGGTGGCACACACCTGTAATCCCAGTGCTCTGGGAGGCTGAGGCAGGGGGATCATGGGTTTGAGCACAGCCTGGGCAATTTGGCAACTTGGTGAGACCCTGTCTCAAAAGAATAATAAAAATAAAAAGGGATAGGGATATAGCTCAATGCAAGGGCCCTGAATTCATTTCTCAGTGCTGAAAAAAGAAAATTCTCCTTGGTAGATTTTCTGATGTCCACCTCCCTCTCAACATTCAAATATGAGTTCAGACGTTCTCTTTGCTACCTTGGATCACTGTGGCTAATGGCCCTCACCCCTGTTCCCCTCTTCTGAAGGCCCTCAGCCCTCTTCTGATCTCCAGTTCTCACATATTCCACTTTCTCTGTTATTGCCAGAATCTTATTTATTTATGTTTACTGTCTGTTTCCATCTGCTGGACTAGAACATAAGCTCCAGGAGGGAAAGCACTTTTGTTTTTGCCAATCTTATATCTACAGCACTCTGCATAGTTTCTGACCCAGAGGGCAGGGCAGCAGGTACTCATCACCTCCCTGATTGTGGGAGGCAGAAACAGGAGGAGGATGGAAAATAAATGCTACAGAGCCCTGACCCACCCCAGGTTCCTCACCTGTGGGGCCAGGCCACCAATCACAGGGTGCCTGTTGCCACTGCAGTCTGGTGTGGGCTCTGACTCAGTGGGAGTCTGAGGCCTGGAGGACGCCCACTTCTTTCTGGCTTTCTTCCTGGGTACCTTTCTGATGCTCTGGTTCCTTCTAAGGCTGGAGAGCTTGTCAGCCCTTGGGGTCCTGGCATGGAGCCCAACCACTGTGGATCTGAGCAGCCCATACACTGTATTTGAAAAATTTGACTGAAAATTGAACATTTTAAAATTGGGCAGGATGTGGTGGTGTATGCTTGTAATCCAGCACTTAGGAGGCCAAATCCAGAGGATCGTGAGTTTAAGGCCAGCCTGGACTACGTAGCAAGACTCTGTTTCAAAAAAGCAAAGTACATAATTAAAAAAAAATTGGGAAAGCTTACATAACAGACTGATTGGTGTCACTTGACAAATCGGAACTCCAGTCTGAGCTGTGATGGAACCCGCAGCCAGCCCTGCCCGCTCACGTCTCCCTGCCTCCCTCTGTAGACCTCACCCCCTCGCTTGTCTTGAGCAGTCAGGTTTCAGAAGGTGTGAAGACTCCCTGCTAGGTGCCAGTCTTATGCTTGGCACCTGTTAGCATAAGGGGCTACAAACATGGGTGCAAAGTGACCCCAGGTTTGATGATGAGCTGCAGCCAAGGTCGGTGGGAAACAAGTAGAAGAGTGGAGACAAGTGAGTGTGAACAGGGAAACAGACGGAAGAGCTAAGTACAATCATTGACCTTGTGTTCTGGGGGTCTTAGTGGAGGTGGGGGGCGGGTCAGTGGCTGAAGACACCATTAGGTGGGTATGAGCTGAGCATGGTGGTGTGCGCTTGTAATCCTACAACTCTGGGAGGCTGAGGCAGGGGGATCACAAGTTCAAGGCCAGCCTGGAACAGGCGACCCTGTCTCAGAAAGAAAGACAGACTAGATTGGTATGAGTGGGAGGACTCACTCTTTAACTGTAATTCATCAGAGTTCTCCAGTGAAATGGAACCATCAATAAGCTGGGTGTATGTACACCCTTTTCGTATATATTCTACGTATACATAGCCTATACGTCTATTGGGGAGCTAGACATTAATTTACTTTGAGACTCGTTTAAAGAACAGAAATTTATTTTCTCTTCATTCTGGAGGCTAAAGGCCCAAGATCAAAGTGTCCGAAGTACTTCTTCCCTGAGGCCCCGAGCTGGGCCTGTAGAAGCCCATCTTCCAGTTATCTTCACAGGGCCCTCCCTCGGCTGTCTGTGAGCATCTTGGAAGCTGCTGCCAAGCGGGCGCGGGTGGGGGAGACTCACCTTGGAGCAGTATTTTTTCAAACCAAGGATCACAGTCCATTACAGGTTGCAAAACAGACTTACTGGGGCTCACCCTGCATATGTCTGCTGCTGTTGTTACATAAACACTCATTCTGGGGATGACAGGTGAAGTTTGGGGCCACTGCAGCCTAGAGAGGAGACCGGGTCAGTGTTGGCAGGTAAACACACAGGTGGCTGTGGATGTGAGAGCTCCTGTCCTCTCTGCTCAGGCTCACAGAGGTCAGCCTGAGTCTGGGGAAGATGAAAGGCACTAGGATCACCCTTCTGATCTTAGCTCTGATTTTGTTATCTGTGCGATTCTGGCTGATGAATCTGAGTCTCAGTTTCTTCATCTGAAAAATGATGACAATCATATCACGTACTTCCTAGGGCTGATGTGTGCAAGAGACTGTTGTTATGGTTTGGATAAAAAATGCCCCCCAAGGCTGACATGCTCAGAGGTAGCCTTTGGGAAGGTGACCAGGTCATCAGGCACCATTGCTGAATGCAGTTAGGAGGTGGGGCCTGGTTGGAGGAAGTAGGTCCCCAGGGCCATAACCTGGCAGGGTCTATCCTGTCTCCACCCCCTTCTTCTCATGCTCTTCTCCTTGCTCTCTTCTTCCTGGCTGGCATGAGGTGGGCAGCTCTCCTCTGCCACACCCCTCTGCCATGATGTTTTTGCCTTGGGGCCAGCCAGCCGTGGACTGAAACTTCTGAAACTGTGAGCCACAAGAAACCGTTTCTCCATGAAGCCGTGTATGGTATTTTATCTCAGCAACTGAAAAGCTGACCGATAGTGCATTACTGCTGGCCGGTGGCCCGTTCTTACTCATGTTGGAAGAGTATTTACAGTTGTTCACATATCACCCCTTCCTGCCAGGGAAGAGAAAAAGGAGAGAGTGTGCAACATGTAGCATATGTGACACTGGGCTGGACACTGGCACGAGCTGGTTGAAAATGGAATCTCCAGCAGGCCTGGTGGATGTGGTGGAGCTCTGTAAAGTTCCCACACAACTCTGTTTCCATCCAGCTGAATAAGACTTCCATCCCAGATACAGAGAATTCCAAACATTCCAGCTCTCCAAGGCCTCAGAGCATGCTGAGAGGGGCTCTCTTCTCAGAGACCCTAGTTAGGGGTGCAGCAGCTGCAGCAGGAAGCGGGCACGGGAGGTTCCCGCTGAGCACCTTGGAAGCGAGAGGCTTCTAAAGTGGCCCAACCAGAATGGGAAGTAACACACCCTGAAGCCCTGGAGCCCTGGTGTGGGTTCCTGTCACCCCCAACCCCATGGGCGGGCCCACTACACCGTGGGAACATCCTATTTGCTAGGGCCTGGCCCGTACAAGCTTGGTCCTTTGGGCCCCATACTCAGGTAAACCGAAGCTTACATAGGACCAGGTGTCGCGACCTAGGCTCTCAGTGGCGCTGAGTCAGCAGAAGAGATTCGGGGAGTGGAGAGGGACAGTGGCTGGGGGTGTGGCTCTGGTAGAGGCTTGTGGGGTGGGTGTCCCCAGGAGGGGAACAGCCAGGACCGGAAATGAAGAAGAGACGGGAGGAGGAAGTATCTAATTACCAGGAGCCTCCCCAAGACTCACACCCAGCTTCGCAAGGACCGAATGCCAGAATGAGCCTCTGGCGGAGGTGTGAGGTGGGGAGTGGCGTGGATCGGGGAGCACACGCGTCTCACGAAAGAGCCCAGGCCGCAGGAAGAGGACGGCGGAGGGGGCGGGCCGTGTGTTCGC